CTGACAATCGGTGAAGCTTTGGTTTCTCACCGCTTAACTATAGCTGCTTCGTTAAATGCATTACTGTCCGTTGCCCATCTTGGCTGTATCTCACTGTTTGATAAGCGCAGTGAAGTGCACAGCTAAAGTGATGTATGTAAACAACCACCATGCATCGAGAATCGAGGAAATTTAGCGGTCGAATAATTTTTGGTAATCTCAAGACGGAATGCCCAGTATTCACTATCAAATTTATTAGAGCATCCCATTCATCCTCAAGAACTCTAGAAGGTGTAGCGGTTGAAAGGTGTTTGAATTTACAATTATAACGCTAATGAAATGATATTGAAATGAAATGCATTATCTGCAATCTGGTTTCGAGTAATCTCTACGTTCGTACGCATATCGTAATTATCAGTCCTCATCTGTCGTTATCACTTTTTGACCCCCACAAAATATGTTACCGTCCCACCCCATATCATGTCCCAAAATCAGTTCCTGACGACTGCTGCGAAGCGCACTATGAATTTTGTGAAAATTGTGTTTCAGCGCCTCTTATCTGCTCATATCAGTCGTTATCACTTTGTGACCCCCACAAAATATGTTCCCGCCCACCCCCTATATCATATCTTGAAACCAACTCCTGACGACCACTGGTGCCCGAGCTATGAATTTCGCGACACTTGCGTTCTAGCGCCTTTTATCAGCCCTATCAACTGTGACACTATTCTTAGCATACATTGTTTACAATTACAACGCTGATGAAATGATATTGAAATGAAAGGCATTCTACAATCTGCTCTCTATTTTCTATTTCAAGTGCTCTCTACGTTCGTACGCATATCGTTACTATCAGTCCTCATCAGTCGTTATCACTTTTTGACCCCCACCAAATATGTTTCCGTCCCACCCCCTATATCATGTCCCAAAATCAGCTCCTGACGACTGCTGCGAAGCACACTATGAATTTCGTGAAATTTGTGTTTCAGCGCCTCTTATCTGCTCTTATCAGTCGTTATCACTTTGTGACCCCCACCAAATATGTTCCCGTCCCACCCCTATATCATGTCCCAAAATCAGCTCCTGACGACTGCTGCGAAGCGCACTATGAATTTTGTGAAATTGTGTTTTCAGCGCCTCTTATCTGCTCATATCAGTCGTTATCACTTTGTGACCCCACAAAATATGTTCCCGTCCCACCCCCTATATCATATCTTGAAACCAACTCCTGACGACCACTGGTGCCCGAGCTATGAATTTCGCGACACTTGCGTTCTAGCGCCTTTTATCAGCCCTTATCAGTTGTGATCACTTTCTTTACCCCACCAAATATGTTCCCGTCCCACCCCCTATATCATATCTTGAAACCAACTCCTGACGACCACTGGTGCCCGAGCTATGAATTTCCGGTCAGACAGACAAACACATACACACACACACACAACCGCTTAGCCGATTATATATAGTAGGATATACAGTCGAGATCCGAAAGTTGGGGTAGGCGTGTCACCGGAAGTGACGTGGAACTTGATAGAGGTTGCGTAGATAAGTCGTTGCCAGCATGCTTTGCTGATATCTCGCGATGTATATTGGAAGCCACCTTATCCACATAGATTCTATCAAGTACACGTCACTTCCGGTGACACGCCTACTAACGGATCTCGAGTAATAATATAACACGCCTATCGCTACTTATATAATGGGAATAGCGTTGTGTGTGTATGTGTTTGTATGACGAATTCATAACTTCACCCCCTTTGGACCCAGAGCGCTGAAACTTTTAGGATATATAGGGGGCCGGAGCGTGAACACTGATGACGGGTGGCGGGAAGTGATAACTACTGATAGGAGCTGATAACGGACGTCGAAATGTTGATGTCACCAATTTCGTTGCACCGTTCGCGTTGATGGTGGAGAGTTTGCACTCATGTATGATATGTGGGGTGAGGCGGGGACCAAGAAGTTGAGTGAACGAATGTGGTAGCAACTGATAAGAACTGATAAGGGCGTCAAAGTGTGGATACCACCAGTTTCGTTGCGGCCCTTGCGGTTACATTGGAACCTTGGCTCTCACATGTGGTATAGGGGATGGGACGGGAACACGGATAGCGGATGATCAGAAGTGATAACAAGCGATAACGGTTGATAAGGAAGTTAGGATTTTGAGTACTGCTAATTTCGTTGCAGCCTTCGTGGTGACAGTAAATATTAGCTCCTACACGTTGCGTGGGGTTGGGACCGGGACACCGATTGCGAACAGTATGAACTGATAAGAAATGACAAGGAATGATAAGAGCGTTTGAGTGCAGGTCTCTACTAATTCGTTGCAATTATCACTGGCAAGCGATCAAGATGGCGAGGTTGAAGTAGGTGACAGAAAGTGGTATGAGCGGCAACTGTAACTGATAAGAAGTAGCGACTGTTGAGCGTGCATTCGATTGAATTAAGCCAGGTCCCTTGCAGGTGAATATGTTCCATTCCTACCCTTTTATCTAAAGAAGCAAAGAAAGTTGAGCTGCTCAACTATCTGGACTTGGACTAATAGCGAATTTCCAGTATATTTCCAACTTCCATCGCAGCTCGGTTAGATTGATATTTCACTTACACACCGATTCTTCAATTGTGGAATTCTATAAACCGCTAAATCGCCCGAGCTCGATATCAATGCTAAATGTTTACGAAGTCATGATAAGTGCAATTTTCATTCCGCATGCTACTGCGCGCATTACGCTACAATCTTCAGCAAAATTGGACGGCCTTGAAAATCATGTGACACATCTTCCAAACATCTTACTGTTAGTTTCTCAGCCACGTGACCTATCCAGTTTCACTAGAGCTACCACGTAATGCGCGCGGTTGCGTGCGGAGCTAAACTGGTATATATATAACATACAGAACATTATACGATATATATATATAGTATATATATATAGCTTAAATATACTGCTATCAGTAATCATTAATAACAAGGTGGTTTGGCTTTTCGTTATGCGAATTGCAACCATCATCCTTCAACGGAACACTATGCAAACGCGTTTTTGCCGATGTCTCAAATTTATAAACATTACTCAAACGGCTTATACTTGGTCTTTGTTCATAGCGCTTCCATTCGGTTTCGCATCAGCAATGCTCCTTGTCATTGTTCACAACTTTGATTCCGCTTCGCAGGAAATCACAGGATTCAGAACTAAGAAAGGTACTGAGTCCGTCTCCAGAGTCCTCATTATTCTCAGTTTGAACAACGTAAATACTGTCTAAGCTTCAGAGTCGGTAGGAGTAAGGTTCCTTGAGGACGACGGATCTTTCGAATTTCCATTTTGGTGGACCTTTCCTTTATGTAGATTTTCTGTCGCCTTGGTTTCCAACTTCTAATATCTGCGTACATTTCAATGTAGAAGAAAATTGCAAATAAGGTATTAAAGGGCGGGAGAAGTGCTTTTGAAATGCTTCACGGTTAATAATTCCGTTTTGCTTTTTCGAGCGCACAAATCCATTGAATACAATTATTTCGCGGTTTCTCGCGTAATAATGTAATGAGTGGATTTGTGCTCTCAAAAAAGGAAAACGTAACAGTATTACACTTCATTCCAATATTATTCGTGGTCAAAACTTGTGAGTGTAGTCTAGACCCGGAATGCGATCGAAGTGTTGGTGCATCAGTGATTTTGTCCCCACCGTGTGGCTCGAACTCCACGGAGTTTAGTAGAAGCCAAACGCGACGCTGACTTCCCTCCTATCGATACTGTTAGAAGCTGAATCATGTGACATCTATATTGCAAATTTACAGCGCTCTCCTTAGTTCATACTAAATTAATGAGTTTTTGCTGAGTAGCAGTTTAGGGCTCGAGCTGCATGGTTTCAAATCGGACCGGCCAACAGTCATAATGTGCAATGTTGGTATACAGGCAACGCTGCTTGGATATGCCATAGAGAGCATTTTCCCGCACAACCCTGTTCAAGTTTACAATGTGAGTTGTATTTAAAAGCTTAACAAATGCTTAGAAATTAAAAAAGGATCAAGGACGAGTGAGAGTCATGCCGTCATGGCTTGATGTTAGTAGTGTTGGGAGGGGGCAAGCACGAAGAGAGAGTATGTGGAAACTTCAAACTTCACTTCTTCCAAATGGTTCTCGGTAGCGCAAGCTATGCTATGTCGACTTCCATTCATAATAGCATTGATATTTAAAGCGCCCTTGTCTTGTACGTTGAAGTACATACGTTTGTAGGCAGACACGCCAGCCGGGGTTCCTACGTTCTAGTGAAGTTCAGCGTTTAGTACATTATGCCCCTGTCTGCATTTTACATTGAGGAAACTGTTATCCGTCAATTCTCGATTCGTCGAGTCTGTCACTGGCTTTACCTAAATTTCTACCATTTTGTTAGGAGGAACTTGTTCATTCATTGCATCTACAGTAGTGGCCAGAAATTTATGAACAAACGGTTTTTTCATGATTTCTCTTTTGAAAGTCACTGGAACGTCTCCAAATTTGCAACAATTATTAACTACGTGTTTTATGATCCACACAGAAAATTTCAACCTTCAGCTCAAATTTGGGTTTAGAAAATTTTAGATTTTTCGAAATTAATGAAGGCAGGTGAAAGATCACTTGATCTCTCGGTGATTGATAAGCTCGCTAACAGTTTTTTGCCACGCGGGATTTCTTGTAGGTATTGTTTACTATTGTTTTTGTAGCTCTTGATAGCAGTGGGTATTGATTGGAGTTCACTGGAAAGTAGGAATATTCAACAGTTTTATTGAATAGTTAGAAATAGTGATCAACAGGAAATACCGGAGATTCTGGCGCAGTCCTGGCGATGGCAGACGTATTGGGTGGCGACCCAACTCCTCGAAGAATATGATGACCTGGGACCTCCGTGTTGCCCTTTTATACGCTCCTTTTCCCGCGCGATCAGGGTGGTCGATATGTGACCACCGATAGCTTTGTTAGTGGAACACCAACGAATAATCGATAATGAGGTAGCGATTTTGCTACACTCCGGCCGGCGTGTGTTGTTCATACTTGGCGCGGTCAATTTCTACTTTGATCGCTCTTATTTTCCTCGTGATGCGCTCCTTCGCATCGGGTACAGTACATAATGCTCTGTGATGCTTCTTTCTAGGAATAAGGAAGTCCAGGGCCGTATCCATGACAACGTCACAATAGCAACATTATTTTTCCTCAGTTCTGCAGTCGTCGGGAACGTGGTTCCTACCAAGGCATAGACGGCACCGGTTGTCCCTCTGGATGAACCGAAAGCGTTCCCCACCGTCGGTGATCAGTGAACATGAGTCTGAAAAGTGGCGACCGTAGATGCCACAAAAGGTGCACTTCATGTGCTCTGGGACATCCTCTAGACCATGTCCAATTTTTCTTTGAGGAAGAAGTGTACGTCCTTTGTATAGTTCATCCAACTCATCTTCCAAGTCTCCAATGTACTCTTGACGCTCTCTACGCCACTGCTCTTCTCGATGTTCTTCTTCGGCTCGATGGCATTGTTTATCTTCGTCGTGCTCATCCCGGTTTGCGTCAATAAGCTTTTCCATATAATTGTCGTCCGATAAGAGCTGAACCTTACGGGGAGTTGGCTCATTGAAATTGCTATCGGAATGACGCCTTCTTCTTTCGCGGTTGCAATGAGGTTGATCTTCTTTCAGCTTACTTATAGCGTCGACTATCTTTTCCATTGCGCTGTTGAATGCGCTTACAAAAGTTGGGGAGATTTCAGTTTTTTCTGCTAGCACTTTTTTCCGCAGTGTTAATCTCTTCTTCGATCGGCGATGTGTCGGTCCAGCATCTTCAGCTGATATGCTACTTTCGCGGCTAGTTGGCGCGTGTCGTGCTCGTTGTCTTTATACCACTCCACCTTTCTCTTGTCTGAAATACGACCGGAGTCGGCTGCCACTCGAAATATTGAGTTTACGAGCATGTAGCGCTGGGTGTGACTCAAAATTTTCTCCTTCGCATAGACGGCTGTCCTCGGCTCGCGTACATCATGAGTTCTCCTCCACTTATCTTTTGCCAGTCGTGGACAAAAGATGATGAGTGAGCTGTGAATCCAAAGTTCGGGCCATTTTTAGATGCTCATTTATCTCATGCAACGATGTCGTCATATCTATTTCCAATTCGTCTGCCGAAATTGTTTCCCTGTAGAGGGTAGCGGTGAACTCCAATCCGCACTGTATGTGTTTTGTTCAGCCATGATGACGAGCGATGATCTGAAATGATGCATATCTCGGAGATGAAATGAGTGCTGTACAAGGATATTGTATGTCCTTGAAATTGATAATATTGCTTTTATATTGTTAGATTCATTGAATGGTTGCGTTATAAAGTGGACTATCTGGCTCTCTGTGCTGAAAATATTGGTCTGAAGGACTCCCATACATAGACTGGGGTTATCTGTTTTTATGCAGCAATTTCTTGAGAGCGTTTTGCATGGTAGTGTCTGGCACCCTATTCTTAAGAAGGTTCCGGCTCTTTGACGGAGATTGATGTGTTTCTCCATGCCCATCACTTCGTGTGCAGAGCAGTGTCATGCAACACAATATCTGCAATATTGTGAAGCGTAAAGTATACTGGAAGACGGCTGAATCTGCTTCCGGTTATTGTCGTCCTCGTTGTAATTGACTTTTACCCGATGGCGCAGATTGTACCGTGCTTGAGTTTCGACTAAGTCGTCATCCCGAACGTGTTCCAAATCGTGCTCCTCTAATTCCAGAGGGACAAGTAGGTTTATTGGTCGACGAATCAAGCGACGATTTGCTGGACGGACCACTGCTTCTCGCACTACTCCTCTATTGTTCATCAGTAGCTTCTCAATGATCCCCGTTTTCCAGGTATGACGGGACAGTATTGCGTCGCAGAGTAGAACTAATGTTCCTTTGCTGCACCCTTTTTTATTGTCTATTGCTGAGGCGTGTTTCTCCCGCAAATTAGTAAGGTATTCAGCCTGCCAAATTTGCCTTCTCCGTAAGCTTGCATGATGTTTCCAGTGCTGCAATTGCTTGTCTCTTTATTTGTATTGCTGTTAGCTCAGCAGGAGAAAGGTAAGATGCATCACCTTTCTCTTCTCTTTGTCTTAGAGGTGGAATTATGATTTCTATATCTTTCTGAAGAAAGTCTATCGGGCGCAGGATTTGAAGTCGCGTCCATATCGTTGCCGATGTAGGTAAGTGGGCGAGTATTGAGCATTGATTCGATTTCCACTACTATTGTTGAAAATTCTCAATAGTTAGATCTCAGGTCTCATAGATCCGCTCAGGGTTTTGTAGAGAGAATGTTTGACGGATTTTACAAGTCTTTCATAAAACCCTCCTTGCCAAGGAGCGAACGGCGTTACGTGTTTCCATCTCTCTATTGCTCAATTGCTCCGCTATTGTTGATCCGTAGGAGCTGTTAGGAAATTGTCTTTTGGTATTGCTTCGCCCAGTAGGAATGTAGGGGCGTTGTCGCTTACTATTGATCTTAGAACTCCTCTCCGCGCAAAAAATCGACGTAGCATTTGCAAAAATGCCACGGTGGATAAATCTGTAACAACGTCAAGGTGGAGCAGACGAGTGACCATGCAGGTGATTATGGAGCCGTAGCACTTTCCTTGACCACCATTCGGCTGTTTGACTGCTAGCGATCCAAAGTAGTCCAGTCCAACGTGAGCGAAAGTGGCGGATTTGACGACTCTTTCCTTCGGGAGGTCTTCTTGACTAGGATGTTGATATGGCAAATTATTGAGTTTTTGACACTGGAGGCATTTTCGTATGAGTCGACATACTTGAGAACGAAGCTGTGGGATCCAATATTGCTGCCGTACAATGGACATCGTGTGGATTTGTTCCTGGGTGGATATTTATCATGGATGTCTTGAATAATAATTTCCGCTAGCATTGTCTTTTGCAAGATGAAAATAGGAAATTTAGCTCCAGTGGGTAGGTGAGCTTTTCCAAGGCGTCTATAACATCTTGAAATGCCTTCATCTGGTCGAATACTGAGATATTGCAGCTTCTTTTTAAGGGTATTGTCGACCCTTACTCTTTGATGGTGCATAATTATCATTTTACCAGCAAACTCAACTTCTTGACCAGTGAGGGGTCCAGAATTTATGGTAGTTTCGCCGTATAATATTGAAAGAATAATATTGCTATTATTGTTCTTTTTATTGGCGCGAGAAGCGAGGATTCTGATAAACCTCGAGACGTATGCGATAATCCGTTTGGCTTTGGTGAGCGTTCGTACGTGGCCTCGCTGGATTAGTTCCAAGTCATCATGACTTGGTGGATCGTGTGTGGTGGATAAGATCTGATAGCTATTGTTCTTGAGAGGGATGCTGATGTCGCCTCCTTCCTTGTCTTGAGGAGCGTCAAATATTGTGCTCTGCGCAGGCTATTCAGCCTCTTCCTTCTGCGAAAACCAAGGCCCGGTCCACCAGAAGTGACTCAAAAGTTCCTCCGCTGTCAAGCCTCTCGTTCCACAACCAGCTGGATTGTCGCTGGACGCAACATAGCCGTACTTGATAAATCGTTGCTGGTTGATAATATGATTCGCAATTTTTCGTATTTCTATCAAGCGATTATAGATGAGCATTCCTGTTTCACGTTGCGGATCCTTTTTTATCCAATTGAGAACGATTTCGGAGTCAGAGAAGACGTAAACTCCTTGAATATTGAGGACGTTTTGCAACTGGGTTGTGACCGAGTTGCTGAGACGCATTGCTAGCGTGAATGCGTTCAGTTCAAGCTTTGGTATTGTTGATTGTCCTTGTAGCGAAGGTAGTTTTGATTTGGCCAGAGCAATACAGAGGAAGTTGTTCTTGGTTGATAGAGGTAGGTACAAGCTGCTATTCCAGTCGTACTTGCATCAGCGAATGACACTAGTGTCGCTGTGCTCTTCCTAGAAGCGAGAAAGCGAGGTATTTCCTTGCTGAATCCATGAAGGTGAATTCGGATCTGTGTCCATTCTGCTACTTTGTTGGCTGGTATGGTGCTGCCCCAATCGTATTTATCCTTCCAAAGGTTCTGGAGAAACGATCGAGCTCTATGAAGTAGGGGAACGAACCAACCCAAGGGATCGTAGGCGGTCGCTATAGCACTTGTTATAGCTCTTTCAGTAACATTGGACACGTCAGTAATCGAGCAGGTTGCAACGAATGTATCCGCTTGAGGATTCCAGTGGAGCCCAAGTACTTTTGGTTGTGGGGTGTTAGCCTTATCTGCCTCATGTATTGTAGGCATCACCTCGTTGTTGTTTGAAGTAAACTCTCGGAGATTCATACCGAGGTCATTGAAGATCTGCTTAGCCTTTTTGTAGAGCTCAGTCGATTGTTGGAGTGTGTCCGAGGTTAGAATCAAGTTATCGACGTAAATATTGTCCTTGATTTCCTGTGCTGAGGCGTTCTCCACGTACTTGTTCAGATGGTATTGCGTCGTTCCTGCTAGTAGGAATGGGGAGGATTTCAGCCAAAGGTAACGCGGGTGAATCGGAGGATCTGGATATTGCTCTTATCTGGGGGCTTCTTGAAGTCTTGAAGCCATAGACAACGTGTGGCGTCTCGATCAGCTTCATGCAAACGAATTTGCAGGAAAGCTTTCTCGACGTCAGCAATGAGAGCTATTGTTCCAATCCGGAATCTGAGTAGTAGACCATATAAAGAGGGAAGAAGGACAGGTCCTCTATGTAGGACATCATTGAGGGAGGGACATTCCTTATAATGTGCCGAGGCATCAAAAACTATTCGCAGTTTTGTAGTCGCCTTATGAGGAGTTAGCACCGGTTGGTGAGGTAGATAGTGGATGGTGTTTCCGGATACCGCAGTGTTATTGTTCACTGGTTCCACTATCCCTTTCTGAAGTTGGATCTTGAAAGACTTGTGATATTGTTCGAGGAGACTTCTATCATTTTTCAGTGATGTCCATACATTGATGAGCCTTCGGTACGCCAAAGCATAATTGTTTGGAAGTGGTGGATGGTTTTCTTTCCAGGGTAGGTGGACGTAATATCCGTCATCGCGTTGTTCTATCGAATTATTGAGTTGATTCCAGACCATTCTGTCTCTAGCGTCGCGATCTTGCTTTTGAGATCCCATGAACTCTTCCGTTCCGGCGGCATCCAGGGTCCAATATCTTTCCCACATTTCCTTGCTCTTCGCTCCGATATT